GAAAATAGAGTTGAGTTTTCATTTTCAATTTTCAATGAAAATTTTAGAAAATGCATTTGGTTGAAACTGGTGGAGTTTTCATTTTCCATCTTAGAAATTTGAAAAACTTTAGAAAACTATAAAAATCACTTTTCTAATTAAATACAATTTGGAAAACTGAAAATTTTCATTTTCTTAGAAAATTTTGGAAAACTGAACGAACCAAACGCATTTTCAAAATTTCCGTTTTTCTTGGAAATTTTTCCTAGAAAACTGGAAAACTTTCTACAACCAAACGCACCCTAACTGTTTTTCGGTTTTCAAGCCTATTGGGTCAGCTCCCTTTAGTCCCTTGTAGGCATGAGTATCTGGACCTTTTTGGATCGGACCTAAGCGGCCCAAGACCGGACCAATTCTTTAGTAAAAAACACACTGGATAGGGTTTACGAATTAGACATAAAATTGTGTAATGTGTTGTGTTGTAAAAATCGCATAAAATTATGGAAAATCTAGTGCAAATGAAGTCAATGTCATTTAAAAGATATAAGAGTCTATTTTATTTCTTATGTAGGAGTTAGAAACTGATTTTGAGTATAAATGGTTACAAAAACTTCTTTGAACAAAGGGCTGGAAATGTCATTGTTACTAAAATCCAGTAGTTGTATTGACTAAATCGTTTAAAATTAGGGAGAATTTCATATATGTCCTTCTTAAACTTCAAAATATCATATTTGCCCAACTTAATTTTTCAATATCATATTTACCCTTCATAAACCTTCAAAATATCATATTTGCCCAAATCCTTTTTTATAATGTTTTTAATATTTTATAATGATTCTTTATACCTTAAAATTATTATAATAATTAAAAATATTAACCATATTATCCTTACGTCTATGATAATTGAATGTGAACTTCTAAATTGTAGGAAATGTTGCCTTCTTGACAAACAAAAAAAATCATCTTCAACTCTCTATATAGAATATATATTTTGATTGTCTAGTTTTTGTTGTTCTTGATTATTATCATGTTGTAGATAGAGGTTATTTTAGATATTATCATTGATATTTTGATGTTTAAAATGTACATATACGATATTTTGATATTTAAGAAGGGTATATATGATATTTTGATGTTTAAAAAGGAGATATATGATATTTTGAAATTTTATGAAGGATAAATATGATATTTAGAAATTTTATAAAGGATAAATGTGATATTTAGAAATTAAGTTGGATAATATGATATTTTGATGTTTAGGAAGGGCATATATGAAATTTTTCCTTAAAATTATAGAAAAACAGTGAATATGAATATGAGGTCGGTTCCATTTGAAAGATATAAGAGTCTATTTTATTTTTTATTTAAAAGTCAAAAACTGTGTTTAGTGTAAAATAATTTTTTTAAAAATTGTTTAAACAGAGTGCTCGAAAATGCCATTAATTATTGTTGAAATCCGATGGTTATTGTATTGTAAAAATCATATAAAATCAAAAAAAATCCATTCAAGATGAGGTCACTATCTGAAAGACCTTTCTTCATCCCACAGTCCCTTGTTTCCTCTATTCTTCCACAACAAAATCTGTTTCTTGTCCATAGATTTGAGCACTAAAAACACAGCATCATACATGCTCTTTTATCTTTTTATTTCTAACATATTATCGTTTCTTTGATCATTTTTTTGGTAGTATATTATTGTTGAATAATAATGTCATTTTTTAAATATGTAGGCAGTATGTTTGATGCTTTCTTATTTTTAATATACAGTGCCTTGAAAGAATTAAAATGGAGCACGTTTTAGAGCCGAACTGTGACACTTCAATCGCCGTAAAAGGGTGTCCTGTATAGCTCTCTCTCTCTCTCTCTCTCTCTCTCTCTCTCTCTCTCTCTCTCTCTCTCTCTCTCTCTCTCTCTCTCTCTCTCTCTCTCTCTCTCTCTCATATATTTAGCAAAATGGTTTTTTGAATGATATCAAACTATGCATTTTATTTTCAATTATTATGATTTTACATGTGAAGTATACGTAATGGTCATGTTGAAAGCTAGTATCATTCGTTGATTCGACCACTCTTGAGTATTATGATTTTGATGATTGATATCGTCTATTTATACTTTTCGCAGGATAACAAATCAAAGTACTTAAGTGCATGGGCTAATAGGAAAGATGTGCAAAAGGCTCTTCACATCCGTGAGGTTTGTACTTGGGAAAATGGTTTAAAAGCCCAACCAAGTTTTCAAACCATTCAAAAAACCTCAATCATGTTTTGTCTGTTCAAAAAACCCAACGAACTTAACATTTTGTCTAAAAAGTCCAACAAAGTTTCAAACCGTTTAGAAAATTCCAATTTTGTTTTGTTTAAGTTCGTTGGGTTTTTTTTGAACAGTCAAAACATGATTGGAGTTTTTTAAACGTTTTGGAAACTTCGTTGGTCTAACAAGTCATTTTTTCGATACGGTAAAAAGCCACGTCATCTGTTTCTCTTATTTGACTTTCGAGAAAGTGTAACTTAGTTGAGCTTTTTAGATAAAATGTTAAGTTTGTTGGGTTTTTTTAAATAGACAAAACATGATTGGGGTTTTTTAAACGGTTTGGAAACTTCGTTGGGTTTTTAAGTTATTTTCCCTTTGTACTTCACATTTTCAATGACTTTATATATATATATATATATATATATATATATATATATATATATATATATATATATATATATATATATATATATATGCATATTCATTTTGATTATGTAGATATATAATAATTAATCTCATGACCTCGATCATAACCAGGAGACTAAAGACGCCCAGTGGGTGCCATGCAATGAGAGCTTGAAATTTTATTATGACAAAGAACCCATATCTTACACCCACAATGTCTTGAGTAATGTTGCCTATCATCGACACCTTGCTAGTAAAAACTGTCGAGCTCTTGTATATAGGTCTTACCCTCCGTTAATTTTATTTCATAATTTTTATCTATATCTTCTTACCAATATCTTAATATCTACTATCTCTCTTCTGACACTAGAGTCAATTTTTGGTTGACCTTATCCATGCATGCATGTGGTACTTACAGAAATTACAAGCACACAAACATCCTTTACATTTTGGCTTTTTTTCTTTCTATGTTCGAGCAGTGGAGATCATGACATGGTTGTTCCCTATTTGAGTACATTAAACTGGATTAAATCGCTCAATTTGTTAGTCGTGAATGCTTGGAGGCCCTGGTTTGTTGACGAACAAGTAGCCGGGTTAGTTGTGTTTTCATTGGAGCATCATGACTACTTATATATCATTAGTGGCGGCAGCCACGTTAAGTGGGGTGAATGGCTCCACTTGGAGGTGGGTCCCATCATATTTAGTATTATAAAGTTTTCAAAAAAATCTGATTTTTATGAAAAAACCCCTCTGTGGCATCTATTTTTACATCAAATACACCTATTTATATTTTTTTTTCTGAAAAGAACCCAATTTTTTTTTTTAAATTTCACAATTTTATACTTTTATGTATTTTTTTATCAATAATGGACCCCGGTTAGATTACGTTCTAGATCCGCCACTGTATATCATCAAAATAACTACGTAAAAATAGTAATATTTCAATACTATTTTGATACTCTTTTTTATTATAGATACACCAAGAAGTATTTGTACCACGATTACAACTTGACATTTGCTACTGTAAAGGTGAGAAGTCTTCCCCAAAAACTTCTCTTCACATGGTGCTATTCTTGTCTCATGAAAACGGTTATCTTTTAATTTTTAAAGATGTTAGAATGTATAGTCTCTTCCTATAGGGTCTTTGTCATAGTGGTATGAGGTAGAAAATACCCTCCCCAAGTAGTTGTGGAAGTGGTTGAGGGGTCGAAAATTATGTAGAATTAAGAGTAAGATTAGAGGGTCATGTATGTTTATTGTTCAAAAAAATCTTTAATCTCTTCCTAATATTGATGATCATAGACTTAAAAACATTTTAATAAAGAAATGTTGCAGTTTTAATGAGGTAAAATAAGTATTCATGTTATGATCATGATGGTTGATTTTTTTTGTATCTAAAGGGAGGAGCTCACACAGTGCCAGATAATAAACCTAAAGAAAGTTTAAGCATGCTTATGAAGTGGCTTGTTGATGATGCTTTGTGAGTAACAGTTGTAGGGTTTGATGTTTGTTTCTTATCTTGTACGCATCCTTTTGCATTTCTTATACTTTCTTTAACTCAGGTTCAGTGGATATTGTAACTTGTTCATTTGATTGTTTGTCATACAATCATTCTTCAATAACTGTTGAACACACTTGCAAAATTTTGTGATATATATAGTCTACAGTAGTCCTGCTTATAAGACATCACTTTCAGCATAGGTGAAGGATTTGATTTCTGATTACTGTAAATAAAATTTAAGTCCTAGGTAAAAATTAAACAGCTGCTTGATTTGAAGAATTTTAGGTTCGTTTGTTGTTTTGTGTACTACTGGCAAACATTGAATCTACTTGAACCCAACTTGAAAATAAGGGATCGGGTTGAAATTTCAACCAGTTTTGTTAATGCGTCAACCCATTCATTTTCAACATGTATATTTATTTATGATGGATTAAGCTAGTGACGGATATATTCAAGTTGTGTCGGATTTCCGATGGAATTTTTCGCTAGCTTATTGACAGAAATCCATCGGTAAAACGGAGGTTTAAAATATATAAAATAAACTAGGTTAAAACCCGTTTGATACACGGATTGACAAATTAAAATACCAAAACTAATACATAATAGGTGGTTTGTAAAAAAAAAAAAAAAAAAAAAAAAAAAAAGCAACAATATTCAAATCTATCTAGATGTCATGCTATAATTTGGTAATTTTTCAAAATACAATGTTAAAACAGAAAGAAATAAAAGTTTGATGCTATAATAAATAAATCAACAAAAATACGTTGTCATTTCTTGTTAATTATATAATGTCTTGATAAGAAAAATAATAATAAGAAAAATTATGATTCAATTTGAGTCTTAAGAAAGCCATGACTAAATAACTTGAGACCTAAAAAGATGCAACAAACTTTAACAACCCACTCTTAAATGCATAGCACCAACCAACACTTTAACAATGAAACTCACTGGGAATTAGGAAGCAATCACCACAAATTGAATGTGAGACACGTGTATTATACGCATCGATTAAAACAAAAATTATATATGATGGTGTAAATATTAAACATTTTTAAAATAAAATTTAAAAAAAAATACAAACGAAATGACAAATAAATAAATAATTCATTGTAGGAAACCTAACTATTAAAATTGATATATGAAATCTGACGACACTTTTTTAACCAAATGTCTGTTAAATATATTTTTTTTAAAGAACTCTTAAATGTACCCCATATCTTCTTAAAAGATATAATTTGTAGATAAATATAATAGTTAAAATCTCTTTGATACGTTTATGTGGATTACAATCACAAACTCGTACACAACCAAACATACTTTGACAAAGGCATCCCAATTACAACAATGTTCTTGGAAAGTACGTTTATAATTTTATAGTTAACAACTTAAACATAAGAAGTTTCTCCATATAAATAAAAGAGTACAATACTACGACTAAGAAGTTAATATTATTAAAATGTACAAATAACTTTATAATGAAAAACTAAAACATAAGCACATAGTACCGGTCTTTTGTCTGCACACTAAACTGAAATCAAGTTGAAGCGTAAATTTAAAAAACGAAAACGCTCACATGTGAATATTTTAGAAGAAGGGATTTAAAAAAAAAAACATGGTTATATGCAAGGAATAACAATGTACTTCTCATTCTCCCCCTTTATTATAGAATCATACTTTCTCATTGCCCTTTACAAAATTGGCTAAAAGTTCAAGAAACTTGATTGAATAAGAAAATATGTAACTTTCTTTTTGTGTAACATTTTTATCCCAGTTTTTTTTACAGGAATGGTCCTTGATACTTATTTGTTGAAAGCAAAAAAAAATAATATCAAATTTTAGTACAGAACAAGGAACTTTGAGCATGTACACAAGAAAGCACAAAGATGAAATGGAACTAAAAAAAACTGAGCCCTTCAATGAACTAACTTTAAATGTTCGCTTCTTAATCCTAAGCAAGTTGAATGACAGTGATTTTTATAACAAAATCCTGCAATATGAAAATGAAAAATTTTAAACTCAGTATCCTTACCCAATGAATGCAAAACAAAAAGCTTCTAAGCTTCTCATGTTTTAGTCTCAAGTATCCCGAATAAATGTCAAAACAAAGATTCTGGTACAATCTAACTTCCTTGAATTGGTTATATACAACATCACATGCAATACACATGTATGTAGATGAAAATGAGATGAAGGGCAGGTTTGTCAAGCACCGGTTACTGGCCAAGATCAAGAGTAGTATCTCGCTAATAGAACTTGATATTTTAGTTCCTCAAGAATGTAGTCTAAAGGAGTTGTTGAAAAAGGGCGATAATTTGGTCTTGAGAGTCGAATCAAATGAGAAATCTCCAAAACGTTATTAATGAAAAGATTTTTGGCACCTAAAATTAAAATTAAAACTTATTTCCATATTTTCCATATAGAATACAGTGGGACGAAATCATTTTTGGTTTCTCTTGATTGAGCAAAAAGACTAAACATAGGAATTCACAAATGGAAGGTTACAACACTTCGGAAAGAAAGAAAAACTATTAAAAGCCAGAAGTGAAAGAAATTGTAAGAGGGGTATTGGTACAATGTCACCATAGAAAGAATTCAAGAAAAACTTCCATTTGTTACATAAAGTCGTGAAACAACACTTGTTGGGTGAACAACATCTTTCATCACTTCTTTGCACAAAGGGCAATGAAGTTATGGCGGGGGAACATCAGTAGTATGTGACTACATGTAGAAGGCGTTCCATCCTTCTTCTGAAAAGCCGCCTATTGTAAAATTATTACACACAAAAATATTAGTTAATTTATAAACACAACATTGTTAAATTCAAGCAAACAAATAAACGTACTCATTCGACTTCAGAACTGCCACTTCACAACTTGGCCATTGGGTTTTACATATGTGGCAAAGATATTTTCCAAATTTATATTTTCTATTCAGTTAGATTTTTCTTCTTCTTTATCCTCAATAGTAATCTCCTCTCCTATATATTTTTTGAGGCCTCTCTGGATCAGATCTTAATCCAGTGCAATTTAATTGATGACCTCAAGGTTATATGACTTATATCGGTCAAAGATCACCTAAAACTACCACATACATTAAAAATGATTATTAATTTCTTACTTTCGATAAGGATTTAGGCTAAAAGTCCAACAAAAGTCAATTAGCACGAAACCATGAAACCCACAGTGGCATTAAATCAAACACGTTGTGGGTAGAATCCAAATCAAGAAATTAAACCAAATGTTAGACACAGACACATAAGAAAAAACAAACAAACAAACAGAAAACAATTATACTATTCGATCAAACCAGATAATCAAACTTAGAATATTTTTGAAATCAATGGTGATAACTTATTTGTATTTGAGGGTTGGAACAAATATTTCAAGTTAGACTCATCAAGAACAAAACAATGGAAGAACAACAAAGTTTAAATCCACATGAAGAGTATAATAATCCCAGAAACCTCCATCTTTGTCAAGAAAAAAAAATCTTAAACACGTGTGTTAGGGTTATAAAGCTTCATCCGTGTAGAAAAAACATGATTTCATAAATTCCTCGTTCTATTGTAAGCTATCATTGGTCTCGGAAGAAAGGTGGAGAGAAATCAAAGGTTTTATCCGATCAGACGAAGGATTTTGGCATTTAAAATTCGTTTCCAAAACTAAGAAGGCGAAACCGAAGGAGATACAGGCGTGATTTTTGGCTTTAAGGGCAAATATGAAATTTCACTTTGATGTTTTGAGCGGGAAAATTAGCTTGGGAGGGGCTTAGCAATTGCCACCTTTAGATCAGGGATTATGAAAATACATTTTTTTACCCACAATGCAGACAAGATCTAATGCATTAAATAAGAAATCCGGTTTTACAATTTCAGCCACAAATATAATAAACATAAATTTAAATTTCTCCAACACATTCCACAAAAATATTAACATGTAGTCTTAAAAGAGTACCTAAAATAACAAACATAATAAGCATGAGTTTTCAAAAAGAAACTAAACCAACAAACATAAAACTACCATGAGTTAAGTGAATTGTTGTTGGGTGTGTTACGTAACTAAATAATTTAGTGACCAAACTTATAGTCGTCACTTTTAGTCACTATAGGTCCGCAAAATATATAAGTGGGCACTAAATAGTGACTAAAATATATTGGTCACAAAATCTGTGACAACCCATTTCCATTTCGTCATTAAAAGTTGTCACTAAACAATGAAAATCATCATTGTTTCATCCCGTTAGTGACTACAAAATGTTGTCATTGATTTACACAATTAGTTACCATAAAAAAAAGTCGTCACTATTTTATCCAAATAGTAACCACAAAAAGTCGTCAATGAATTATCCAATTAGTGACTAAATGAAAGTCATCATTGATTTAGGTTACTATTTCTTGTATTTAATCCATATACAGATTGATTTGTCAATTAGGAAGAAGAATACAAAATTTATTCTACAAATAATAATACAATAATATATTTTTTGTTTATTTTTAACTTAACTTTTTCATTGGATAACAAATTAATGCTAACAAGAAATTCAATTTAATTGTTCCTCTACAAAGCTCAGGCATTTCATCAACTTCTCTTTGCCTGCCAGAAAAAGATTACATTAATAAGGAGTTTCATCTGTGAAGCATGTAAAGAGCAACATGTAATGCATATTTGCACTATTTTTATTACTATTATAAGATATATTTATACATTTGTGCATATCATTATGTAGAGAAATCGAGAGATATAAACTCACCACAAAAGTTACATATGAAAAACATCTTTACAGATGAAAATAAACAAATATCTTGAATAGAAAGAATTTTTGCAATGGGAACAATAAATAAAGCCACCAACACCAAAATCCATTATCTTGAAAATAAGACACATTTTGAGTGAGGCCATATTGAAATGATTATATTACAATTTCATAAATTTATAGATCAACAAGTATTTTCCAGTCTTACTTGTATAAGTTGAACTAGCAAAAGCCAATTGGATACCAAAAAAGGTGTGTTCAGTAGATCCTAAATTGTATAAGATAAAACATTAAGAGGTATTAGTGCTAACCAACAATAAAACAATTATTATATAGTTTATCTTTAGTTACTTTTTTAATTGTAACAACTTCTCCAGTTTTTAAGCATTTGGCCTGCACAAGAGGGTAAAACAGTAATTCTCCATAGTTGTTGCTTAAAGACTTAAAGTATTACCTGAAA